GGGCGTCCGGAGACGAGCGCTAAGATGGCCGGCGTCTGGCGTTGGGGCGTGGTGGAGTGTGTGGTGAGGGGTGGCGCGCGGCTGTGGCGGTTGACGGAGCGAGGCTCCCTGTGGGAGCGGAGGTCCGACGGGAGCCCCCGGGGCCGGGAGGCACCTGGCGGGCTTTTCCCGCCGCGCAGGGCGCAGTGGGGTCCTGAGGGAAGAAGAGGGGTCTGCGGACGGACTAAGGGGAGCGAGCTGACGGGCGCGTGGAGGAGGAGGTGGCAGCGGCGGCGGGTCCGGCGAATTTAGAATTAGCGCCTCTGGAAAGTCACGGTGGGTCGAGCGATGCACTGGCCGGCGTCCTGGGGGCGGGCCACCTCTTGAGTGCCTGGAGATGCTGCGAGGAGCTGCGTCCCCTGTGGCCAGGGGCACCACGTAGTCGCCCAGTGATGGGCTGGTGGGGAAGGAGTTGGGAGGAGAAGGAGCGAAATTGAGGAATTTGAGGGGATGCAGAGGGGTGTAGTGCCCTAACCCGCGTTCCGGAGCGTGGAGATGTAATTGCGAATCTGATCGCGTATCTGGTGCGGGCTAGGGCGCTCTGCGGTTGGCACTGTTGTAAAACCGCATCCTACCCCAGCTCTGACTGCGGCCAAGTGATGCTGAAAGCGCCCCTGGGATGCTTAGGAAGGGCGGTTCTAGTTCTCCGTTTAGAAGGAATGTCTTGCCTTCCCTTCATCGATCGGGTCCCAGCACTGCCTGCACCTGCTGCCACTTAGAGACACTTGGGGTTTTTGAATACCAGCTTCCTAAAACATTCCTGCTGGCCTTCGGAGAAGGAATGCTAATAGGCTAAACTTATTTGTGGGGCGTAAGAAGCGTGTCAGCATAGGGAGAAAAAAATGACTGCTCAAGGTTAAGAGATAGTAAAACTGGCCCTCCTCACATCCCCACCGGCAATAAAAAAGAAAGTGAAACTTGGTAATTGTTTCAACTTCAAGTTTGAGCCGTTGTCAATTCTACTGGTAACTGGATAATTTCTTGCAGTTTTAATTTTGGAAGTAAAAAAAGCAGCTTAGCAAATCTTGAGAGCTGCTTTATCCTCAAGCCCCCACCCCCACTCCCCATTTTTAAGCCTTAATTGTCATATTTTGCAGGTAATGGGGTTGTGAAATTAGCATGGAAATAAGACTTTCAGTCCCTGCACTTGAATTCCTTATTATCTGTTAAGTAGATGCTTGTGGGGTTAAAGTAGGAAGGTGGTAACTTTGGGCCTGGAATTCAGTTTTGAGTTGTCTTTAAAACCAGCATTTGGTGTAAACAAGGAAAAAGAATTGGCTGTTCACTGTGATCAAATTCGGAATGCCAAACATTAGTTAAGCACATGTTTATAGAATATTTCATAATTACAGTGAGATTCAGTATTCAGTTGTCTTGAAAGAAATGAAAATTTTGTATATATTGGAACCCTTATCTTTTTATCCTTAATTTATCATCTCAGGCCTTTTGAAAGAGAATTAAAACATTTTGGTTCATTTAGCCTCTCCCCAACACTGCAGTTTCTCTAGCTTTTTGTGTACTGGCCATTAATTTTGCAATGGGTAGCAGATTTTTCAATCCAGTATTTGTCATTGTTGGCTATATTGAAATTTAGAGACATTCTGATAATGAACAAATAGTTCAAGGTATACATTGTAGAAAGTTGAAATGTCCTGGCTCTTTTGATTGTACAGCAGTCTTATCTGTCTTCTAAAATATTAATTGTCCCAGATTTTTTTCAGCTTAAAAAACTTAACTGACCGGTGAATCTGCATTTAATATAATATAAAATGGTATACTTCTTTTGAATATTTAAAATGGAAGATTTGGGTTAAATGTTTGAAGTATATTAATTATACTCAACTGTCTTTACCCCCTCCCTTTTTTCTCACATTTATTTTTTTCACTACAAAAAGAAAGGAATAAGGTACCGTATATACTCTCTACCATGTTTTTCCTCTACACGCTTGAATCTTACTGCGTATTATAGCATTGGTGGTACATAAGAGGATGTTCTGTCTTTTGGTTTGAGGGCAGACTGTATTTTATTTGTATCCTTAGCACCTGACTTACTACTTAACATGGAGGAAAAAACTCCTGTAAATGTTTGTTAAATTGTGTTTTGAATGGTAGAGAAGTATGGAGAAAGACAACATATTGGCTTCTTAGTAGCAGAAAAAAATGTGTTTTGAAGTTTTTCTCCTTCCTGCAATGTTAGTCAGAATGTTAGTCACATTGCCAGATTCTAATGGAGTTGTCTGGTTGAGGGAGGTTAGAGACAGGCTGGAGTACAGGTTTAGGAGTCTAATCAAGATAGGAAATGTATGCTCATTCATTTTCTGGATTCAATAATGGGGACAAGTTTTGGCATTAAACCCAACCCAAATAGGTGACAGGCAAGTAAAATATAGAAGGATTCTATAAAGACTGGCTTTCTGGCAAAGATTATTATAAGAGTACAACTGGTTTTTCACAGGACTTTGAGACATCATAAAAACTTTATTATAAAGAATTCATTTTTAATGAAGTTTTACATGCAATAGAAACAAAGCTAATTTATTTATAGTCCAAGAATGTACTCATTAGGCCAAGTCATAGATGTATTAGAATGATAGTCTAGGCATTTTACACAGGGTATTTGACCTCAATTTACTAGACCCATAGTGGAATGCTCAATATTTTTGTGAATGTTTCCCCCATTATTATGAAGTTAGCTGTAGTAGATTGGTGTAATGGTAAATATTTTGGAACAAAACTGCCTATGAATGAAATTGTAAGTTGTGATGGGTGAGGAAATCAAATAAGCTGGCAGCAGAACTTGCTTTTCAGGAGGTTTTTGTTAGGACATCATCAACTAGATTCAGTGTCTGTGCTTCAGGAGAGGCATGCTGGAGACTTGAAGGCCCAGGGAAAAAGAGTATCCTTTATCGTTTAATGAGGAGTTTCAAGCGAAATCAGGGTAATTATAGATTCTAGATCTCTAGAGGAAGAAAGAATAACCAGAGCCTTTCTAAGGATAAAGGAAAAGAACCACATCATGATTGACAAGGAGAGGTGCCAAAGCACATAATAGGCATAATAGCATACCTAAGAGGGAGCAGGGAGAGTCTGAGAGCCCATTGTGTTTATTCGTTCAATAATTTGTTCATTCAAAAATATTGAACCCCTTTCTATGTACCAGGCACATGCTTGACCCTTGGCATTTTACAAACATCTCTTAAGAGGACAGGGTACTGTGGTGGTTCTATGAAATAAATGGAAAATTGAAAACCGCTTTTAAGGAGTGGGTAGAGTTTGCCCTAATTACGCAACTAAAGTTATTTTCATTCTTATCCAAATGCTTGCAAAGATTGTGGTGGTTAGTAATTCCTAAGGCCTACTTCCTATTGAAATTGCCATTTCCTCCTATCTTTTATTACAGAAAATAACAAATCTTCCTACTTTTAATAGCTTTTAGAGGATCTGTTTAGGTTATTTGGTACTGTTAAAAGAAAAATAAGTTTTATTATAAAGATAACCTTTGTTAAAAATATTAAAGATTCAGCAAATGCCTACTCTTTAATATCCAGCCCTTTGGGAAGTCTCGGGAGAATTTTCTTTAATGAGATAAAGATGCTTAATGTGACAGTTGTATTTAAATTTTATTCTACTTTATGTCCAGTGGTATGTATGGTTTTTTCCTTCAATATGAGTAGAATGTATATAAGTATTTATATAAAATGTGCACACCCATTTCCTATGAAGCAAAAGTTTATATCCCAGTTATGAAAAGCTTAACAAATTGAACTTATTCACAATGTAGTCATTTGTATATAAAAACATTGTAACAAAAGATGTGTGGGAAAAGACTCATCACAGATGAGAGTAGAAAAGTACATATTGTTCACAATTTCAAAGCTCTTATATGCCATGTTAAGGAGTTTAGATTTATCTTGTGGTCTTTCAAGACTTTTAGACAAATTATTTAATAGTTGCAAAACTGTGCCGTAAGACACTGGAAATTATATAAAATGTAAATGTTATATGATTATTTGACTAAGTTTGAGCTATGAAAGGGGATTTTCTTAATAGAACACGATGTTGTTATTGTAGTGGTTATTCACATTTTAAAATATTCTTTCTAGAAATGTATATTAACCATTTCCCACACTCTGTGTCACTTTTTAAAATAGTAATTTAGTTTGGCTGTTTGTATGTGTGTTACTTTTCATGGTAACTTCCTGACTTTCATAAAAACATTTTTAAAGTGAAAAATCTGAAAATTGTGCTACTAATTGCACTGATTAGAAAATCTAGATTACTTTCATATAACTAATCTTTGGCATCTAACCTCTTGTAGGAACTTTCAAAGCTTATAAGTATATTGTACCTCTCCATGCTTTCTAAGTGTCTTCTAAAGAAACTGAAGTGGAAAGAGAGTGGTCAGCTAAAAAAGATCTTGTTAAAGATAACTAAAATTTACAGTGGAATATTAATTTTCGAAGTAAAAAATTAGCTACTCTTCTAATTTTTCAGTGATTCTTGTAGCTGTTAGTAATACTTATATTTGGAGCACAAATATTTATTTAAAGGGTCACTACTTGTCATATCAAAATTTAAAATAATTATGGCTGGGCAAGGATGTTTCAGTTTGCTTTTGTATCAGATCTGTTTTGGGTATCTGAAAGCATGTAGTATGGAATAAGACAGATGGTAGGCTTTTGGTTAAGGATAGGGAAGGTAGGGTAATTACAGTATCACAAAATAGCAGGAAACTGCCTTAGCTGGGCAAAGATGGGCACATGATTAAGAGGAGAAGGCAGTTTTGGTTACTAGTGATCAAGGACTTTATATTTTTAACCACTGATGTAAATGTCATAAAGAAAACTGAAGTAAGACTTGATTGATTGTGCCAAGAATTTGTTAGCCTGAAACAATCTGGCTATTAAACCTATAGGATCATCATAAAATCCTTACTTTTTTTATATTAAGAAGATAAAAAGATGCAAGAGAGTCCTTCCTTTACCATAGGGAACCTACCCAGCAGATAAGAGTGGCAGAGTAAGGATGTGTATACAAATAAACACAAAGATTTACATTTGGCATAACCCAAGCCTTTTAGGAAGTTAGAGAAGAACATTTTCTTAAACTAAAAATACTTTGGGAGTTGGGCCTTGAAGGATGGATAAATGTTTAAAAGATGGAGGTGAGGGAATGATGAAGATGAGTTCAGAAAATTAGCTGGAGTGGATTCTTTTTGTCTGGAGTACACATGGCAAAGGAGTAATAAGTCAAAGATAGGTTGGAATCTGGAGAATTTTGAAAGCAAGAGTCACAAATTATAATATGTTTTATTGTTGCATTTGAAAAATTGCCATTTAGTGAGTTATGACCACCATTTTTTTAAAAAAAATGAAGTAGAATAGGAAATATCAGAACACATTATTTTTATAAGGATTCTTTGTGAAGCTGTTGTTCCAGGTACATGTGTTACATACATACATACATTTACTGGAACCCAATGTAAAGTTTCTGAGTCTTAGTCAAAGTTAGAAATCCACTGCTTTATTTGACTATGAGGAACAGAGGATTTTGAGTTAAAAGCTCAAAGCAAACTTGAAGATTAATTTGGCAGGATAGTACTGTGAAGGAGAGCGAGAGTCTGGATGATGGGAGACCAGTTTGGAGTCTACTGCTGTGCTTCAAGAATGATTTGTTGGGGGGAGGGTATATAGCTCAGTGGCAGAGTGCATGCAGGAGGTCCTGGGTTCAATCCCCAGTACCTTCATTAAAAGATAAGTAAATAAATAACCCTAACTACCGCCCCCCCAACCAGAAAAACCCCAAAACAATATAAGGAGAATACTAGTTTGGAAATGGGAAGGAAAAAGACTTGTGGAATGATAACCCTATATATGTGACAAATTGAATGTTGGCATGGAAAAATTGGGAGGGAGATGTCAAAAAAAGAAAAAAACAACTTAAGATTTCTAGCCTGGGTACTTGAATGATAATACAGTATCTTTAATAAGAGAATATTGGAAAAGCTAGTTCTCTGAAGGCAAAACTTATATGTAAGCTGAGTTTTTAGTGTGCCTGAGACTGGTTCAAAAAGGCTGAGACCAAAAGATAGTCTTTGTAGACAGCTATCTAGATCTGATCAGTGAATCTCTGCTAGTAGGTTGAGTTCATTACAAGAAGTCTGAAGAGCTGTTAAAATAGATCAGAGAGGTATTGCTATATACTTAAAGCCTGGTTGTATGTTATAAAGGGCTATAATTTGAGTAAATGAAAATTAATTTCAGAAAGTCCTCACTATACTTCAGAAGGTGTAAGCAGTTTTATGCTGTTGAACTGTAACAAGTTAAATATTTACTTATAATCTTACTTGATGTTTGTGTGTGACATAAACCTTGGACTAAAAATACCACATCTAATAAGATCTTATGTTTTATTTCTCTTCTAGTCATTTTAGCTTTCTATTTTATAATTGCTTTAATGATACAATCTGTGTGAAATAATTAGCTTTCAGTAATTCAAATACAATTTTTTTTAAACTTTAGAGATTTGCTGAAGGGAATTTTAAAAATGAAAATGTTTGCTCAGTTATATGGCATTAAAAGTTTGAATAGCTTGAATGGTTTTCTTTGAACAAATTAAAATTTTTATTGTCTTTAAGCAGTGAAAAGAAGCTTTCATAATATTTATAAATCCATCTATCTTTAAAATAAATAAAGCATACTTGGTTTTAAAAAAGTAATTTCATAGCTGTTAGTTGGAATTTCAAGTGTGAAACTTTTTAAAATGAATACAGATCATTTTAATCTTTATATATAGATTTCATTCAAAACATCTTGACTATTTATATGTTGCTTTTATATATAGGTACAGGTAATATTTTATCAGAATCTACATGGAAGATGCAAAAATGTTTTGTTAACTCCCTATAAAATGAATATACTGCCAAAAATCACTTACCCTACTGCTGAAGCCAGAGTTAATACTTAGCTTCTCAGTAGTGGATTAGCAAATGAAAAGAAGTGCTCTGAACCCAGTAGAGGAAAATAGGAAGTGTCAGGAAAATACTCCCATCCCCCTTTCTTCCCTCCAAGCTTTTAGATCTTTGTGTGGTGAGGCCCCTTTGGGAATACCCTAGTAACTGTCTCTGAGCTGTGGCTTCAGGCAGTGGAGCAAACTGGAGATCTCTGGTGGCAGCAGCCTGGCTCTCTCTAACTCCTGCTTTTTTCCCTGCCCTTTCCTTGGTCATCCACCCCCTACTGCTTTCTTTCATAAATACACTGGGTAAGTGGGTCCCCTACTCTAAAATATTTATCTCATGATCTGTCATTCCACCATTGTGGTTTCACTTCTTTGGATTTTTAAGACGATTTTATCTGAAAGATCCCCTTTTAAAATGCAAATACCCCTGGGAGAGGTCAGACCTTAGTCCTCTGCTAACATCTTAATTATCAGTTAGCATCTAAGTTCATCTTAGTACACATCTGGCTGAGAAGAACCCCTAGCTAAAAGTAATAAAAACTAGAGGAAAACTAGTATTTTTAAGAGGAGGAGCAGTAGTAAGTAGTAGTAATATTGTTGTTATTATTGGCAGCTAACATGTACTAAGGGCTGTACTATTAAGAAACAGGAATTGTAAATGCTTTACAAAAATAAATTTCCCTAATTCCCTCATCAACCCTACTGATGTTGTTACTGCTGTTATTTTACAGATAAACTGAGGTATGTGGGACATAATTATCTCGGTCACATAGTAAATATAGCTGAGTGTTAGACCCAGGCATTTGGATCCCAGAAGGCTCTCTGTTTTGCTGTGATACCTCTTCCCTGCTTTATTGCCTCTCAGAGAGTTGGCATCTGATCAACATTTCACACTTCACAATTTTGCATCAAATGGAATCATGGTGTTAAGATTACAGGGCACTTCCTGTTGAAAGTCAGGGACCTTGCCATCATCTAAATAGACTTTTTTTAGAAACAACTGTAATGAAATAGGCAAACTCCTTATAACTAAGGGAATGCATTTACGGATATAGAGGAGGAGGAAGTAAAGAGACTACTGTATAATGTATCAAATACATAGTATTTTCTTTCCTACTTAAAACTTATGTAAGTAACACATTCATTATTTTTGGAAATTTTAAAATATGGATTAATAAAATAATTTGCAGTCCCTGCTACCCAGTGATAACTTGAAAATGAATGAATGAATATACATATGTGTGTGTGTGTGTGTGTGTGTATTCTTTCTAGGTTTTTTTTCCTTTGGGGCATTATTTTCTGAATGTTCTGCAAGGTGTCAACTCATACCACTTCTTTAATATTTTAGAGTGCAATAATTTTCCTTACATGTAAATAGCATTTCCCACTTCATCTCTACCAGAAGTTGAACTGATAATTATTGTCTATGACTTGCCAGAAACAAAGGTTTAACTAAATTATCTGTGTTCTTTATATGATCCTTCTTAAATAAAAGTAGATAGAAGAGAGCCCTAGATTCTTAATCTCTGTATTGAATCTGTTCTTTCATCCAATGTTTGGTCAGCACTAATCTACCTCTGCTCCCATCTTTGCTTCAGCACTGCTACAGCTTAATTACCTTATAATATATGGAGCAGTAGAGTCTCATTTAATCACTCATCCCTCCTCTAGATCTACCATGCAGATCCCTCTGTAACCTACATAACTGATTGTGTCATTCTCCTTTATAGAATTCTTCAGTGGCTTTTTATTGTCCATAGATCCTGGAAGCAGACTTTGGGGATGATTGGGGCAGGGAATTCTTTAGGTTCCAGGTACCAGTGAATGGTTTTAAAAGGGGAGTTGGGGATGTTTGCTGGTTCCAGGTGGTCACATCCCTTGACTCTGCTGACTCCATATAATGAGATAGGGCCAAGCAGGGGCCCCTAAATTGTCAGGTCTGGACCCTCATTGTCTAGGTCTAAAAGCAGAGTGTGCTGCTGCTGCATGGAGAGTAAACTTTTGGTGGCAGCAAGGATCCAAGCTGGGGGACCATTTAGGAGCCTAATTGCAGTAATCCAGGTAAGAATTGATTGTGGCTTGGTTCAGGGTGGTAGCAGTAGAGATAAGTAGTCAAATTCAAAATATATTTTGCAGGTAGAGCCAACCATTGGTGCAGGGAGAAAAAAGGAGAGGGGTCCAAGATGACTGCCTGCAAGATTATTAACCTCAGTACCTGGGAGGATTTAGGATAATGGAGCATATTAATCAATGATACCTAACTTTTGCCATTAGCTATTGTTGAAAGTTAGTTCTTATAAAATACTGTATTTGACGGGATTTTGAACTTCAGGAAATTTTGAGGGAAAAGAAATGAAATCTGTACAGATGTGGATGTGAGAGCTGGGACTGGTGTCTATATTCAGCATACCTTGTACTAAAATTTAAGAAATTGGCGAGGTAAGGAGATGTCACTGATTTCTAGTGGATTTTTACCAAAAAAGAGGTGAGAAGGAACCTAAAACCAACTTGCCCTTTGCAGGTTTCTTAGGGCCCTAGAGGTGGCACCTGCAAGTACCACTGAAATTCATACTGTGTTGCTGTCCTAAAAAATGTAAAGCTTTGATCATGCTACAACAATGTTCTGAGTGTTCTGTAATTAGATTCCCCACCTGCCACCTACAGTTTGTATTCAATTTATGTTAAGTCAATGAAAAAAATATTTTGTGATTCCCTACTTTTTGACTAGATTTCAGTTGACTGATTTTAGGAACATGTACCAGATGTGTTCCTTTAACTGATAAAGGAACAAGTTTCTGGGTGAAAAATCACATTTGTTTTTATTATATTGGCTTTTTTTTTTTTGGTGTGCGGGTTTGTTTTTTAGAATAATCTTCCAATTTCAGATAATGCTTAAGCGTGCCAGAAGGTAAAAGTTCATTATATTGCCACCACCTACTTTATATTTTTCCTCTTTTCTCTTTATTTGCTTATACATCTTTGCACATTCCCAAGAGTCTATTCAAACACAAAAGCATTATCTCCTTCTGTCTCTCTCCTTAAGGCAAATTGTCAATCAAATCAGAGTATGCTACAGAGCCATTATTAAAGATCATTATTGATTTACTAATGGAAAGCCAAATTTCAAGTGGTAATTAATTAGAATATTTAATATTATTTATTTAAATAGAATGTAGTATTGATTTGTTCACTATAGCTATGTGTTAGATAAATACTGTTTACTGAGTGTTTACTATATACCAGATAAATATTTTGTTACCTCAGTTCTTCAGCAGTTCAGTGAAGGTGGTATGATTTTCACTGTTTTACAAAGGAAGTTTAGAGAAGTTAAAATATTTGCTCAAATCAGACATACAACAGTATGTGGAGAGGTAGCATTCAAACCTAAGTTTTCTACTTCACAACCCATGCTGTTAACTACAGTTATGCTTTAGTAACTCCACATAAGGCTCTCAGAATGTAGACATTAATGAGATATATTTGGGTCTTGCCAGTCCCAATTTTTAAGAAAAGGAATATAGTTTTCTAAACTGCCCTCAGACTGTTGGGTAAAAGGAATATAAAAAGTGGTCAGTACCCATTCTTCACCAGATGGTGGCATAAAACTAAAAACAAAATTTTTAAACGGAACCATCAGAAAAAGTAAAGTGCGTGTTCTTTCAGAGGAAGGTGGATGAGAGATTAGTGAAGTCAACAGTAAATGGAAAGTGAGAGCTTCCTATGTATTATGACAGGCAGCCCAGATATTGGGAGCAGAGGGAAAAATTTATAAAATTATTCCTGAAAAAATACCTTAAAAGAAAAATATGGCTTCTTGTTTTTCTTTTATTAAAAATTGACATTGTTCTGCTCAGTTTTCAGATGCTTCAAGTGCTGTGAACAGAGACTTGTTTGGATTATGTGTTTCTCAGCTAGACTAAATAAATGCTAACAATGGATAAATGCAAACACATTGGGCAGTTGAGGCTTGCTCAAGACCATTCCATCCTCAACCCTCAGAAATGGCATTGTGTGGACTGTAATACAAGTGAATCAATTTGGGCTTGCCTTAGCTGTTCCCATGTTGCCTGTGGAAGATATATTGAAGAACATGCACTCAGGCACTTTCAAGAAAGCAGTCATCCTGTTGCGTTGGAGGTGAATGAGATGTATGTTTTTTGTTATCTTTGTGATGATTATGTTCTTAATGATAATGCAACTGGAGACCTGAAATTACTACGAAGTACATTAAGTGCAATCAAAAGTCAAAATTATCACTGCACCACTCATAGTGGAAGGATTTTACAGTCTATGGGTACAAGTGATGATTCTTATTTCTTACATGATGGTGCCCAATCTCTGCTTCAAAATGAAGATCAAATGTATACTGCTCTTTGGCACAGGAGAAGGATACTAATGGGTAAAATCTTTCGAATTTGGTTTGAACAGTCACCCATTGGAAGAAAAAGGCATGAAGAACAGTTTCAGCAAAAAATAGCAAAAAGAGAAGTGAAGAAAAGACGGCAAGAATTAGAGCAACAAGTTAAAGCAGAATTGGAAAGTATGCCTCCGAGAAAGAGTTTACGTTTGCAGGGTCTAGCTCAGTCCACCACAATAGAAATAGTTCCTGTTCACATACCATTACAAACCTCAGAATCACCAGCAAAAGATACAGTATCTACCTCAGAAGATGTAAGATTAAAAAAAGCCAGTGATTCCTCTGTTAAAAGAAGGCCAATAGTAACTCCTGGTGTAACAGGATTGAGAAATTTGGGAAATACTTGCTATATGAATTCTGTTCTTCAGGTATTGAGTCATTTACTTATTTTTCGACAGTGTTTTTTAAAACTTGATCTGAACCGATGGCTGGCTGTGACAGCTAGTGATAAAACAAGATCATCTTACAAGCATCCTCCGGTCACAGATACAGTATATCAAATGAATGAATACCAAGAAAAAGAAACAGGCTCTGTTAGCTCCAGACATCCAAGTTTATCATCAGGACTAAGTGGTGGGGCATCAAAGAGTAGAAAGATGGAACTTATTCAGCCTAGGGAGCCAAGTTCACAATACATTTCTCTTTGTCATGAACTGCATACTTTGTTTCAAGTCATGTGGTCTGGAAAGTGGGCCTTGGTCTCACCATTTGCGATGCTACATTCAGTATGGAGACTAATTCCTGCTTTTCGTGGTTATGCCCAACAAGATGCTCAGGAATTTCTTTGTGAACTTCTGGATAAAATACAACATGAACTAGAGACAACTGGTACCAGGTTACTGGCTCTTATCCCCACTTCTCAAAGGAAACTTATCAAACAGGTTCTGAACGTTGTGAATAATATTTTTCATGGACAGCTTCTTAGTCAGGTATGGAGTTTTTAAACCTTATTTTCATCTTGGCAAATTCATAAAGTGAAGCCTAAAAATGTGATTTCATCTAGAATGATCCTGAGTGGTTTCCCTTTAATTAGAGCTGTAAAGTTTTCCTCGTGAAAATCACAAAATGAATGAATCTCTAGAATGAGTGGACTTGGTGGTGGACTGTTATTAGACACGGGCGCTCTATTTTCCGAGCATAGAGCTTTAAAAAATTTTTTTTTAACTGAGATAATTGGGCTATACTTCCTCCTGTCCACTTGCCTCTGTTCCTGAGTTCAACTTTCATGGTAGTAATAGTACCTTTTGTTTTTGTAGCATATTTTTCTGGAATTTAGTTTAAATATTTCAAATGTGTTTCTTAGGGAATATCTATGAAGTTTATTTCACTTACTATTTCAGAAATATATAGTTCTACACTGTGTCAGTTAGCAAATAAGAGTTGTGCTTGTGTTGAATGCAGTTTTATTTTCTACCATCTTTGTCATTTCTGAGTTTTTATGCAAAAGTTTAAAATACATGTTTATAAATAAAAGTAACATATATTCATGGAAAACCTATATGATATAGTAAATCGATGCAGAAGAAAAGAAAAATCATGTCTTAATCCCGTAACTCCACACAACCCACACATTAGACTAGTAGTATTTTGGTATATTTTCACCTAGTTTTTTTTCCTCTTCTAAATATTTATACATATTTTTCTCCTAACTGTGTGATCATGTTTAATTTAGCTGCTTTTTTCATTTTTTTCATTTAATAATGTAGAGATTATTCATAGTCATTAAAATATTTGATCATTCTTTTCACAACATTTCAATCTCCATCATATGTATATACCATAATTTATTTAACCATTCCCCTATTATTTTTACATTATTATAATGTCACAATTAATATATTTTTCCTAATGATTTCCTTAAGATGGAGTCCTAGAAGTAGAATTACTTTGTCAAAGGGTTGGACTTTTGATACTTAGTTACAAAATTCTTTCCAGAACATTACTATTTTATATTCTGAATAGTGTGAGAGTGGCTAAGTGCTTTTTTTTTCCTTTATGGATGAATTTTGAAATTAATAAAAATTATTAGGCAAGCTTTTTGCTCTCTTCTCTTCAAATGTGTAATAAACTCTGAGGAAACTGGTCATCTCAGAAGATTCAGAGATTGGTTTGCTGAAATGGCTTTTTTTTTTTCCCTAATTCAAGGAACTGTTCTCAAAAGGTCAAACCATGGCCTACTGAGTCCCCAAACAAAACACCAGGGATATTCCCCTTTTCTTTCTGTCAGTTTCTTAAATCTAAAACCTGTATCAGAGAAGATAGTTTTATTTTGTTGTCAGTTCCAGGAATATAGTTTATATGAAAGTTTAGTAATATTTCATATCATGTGTAGATTATTTGATCTGTAGAGTTTGTCTTCAAGTATGAGCAGTGTTTGTTGGCATTAAATCCTGCCAAATGCTTCCCTGAAGGTATTATTGTTTCCCTTTCTAGTTACTATATTTCCTATATAAGTTATTAGAAATGCCCCATATTCTTTGTGGTTCCTGAATTTTGAAAAGGGTATTAATGTAGTGATGTTTGCTTTAAGCGGGAGCATTTTTGTTATATGTTATTTATGTTATATGTACTGTCTTTTTACATTTTCAGTTGGTAGGGCTTCAAAATCTGTATATACTAATATACTGTATATAAAAAGATACTGTATTTTAATATCTATATAAAAATACTAATAATACTTTATTTGTGTCATGGTTAAGAGGTTTTAAGGATTAGGGGAGAGGAAATCTGAAAGATGAGGAAGGAAAAAGGGCAAAGAAACTTAAGTCTGATAATCTAAACACATTAAATTAAATGCACATAAATATATCACATATATCATATATGTGTATACACATATATACACACATAATGTATATCTAATTAAATGAATCCAGTTTGGTTTTTGTTTTTTTTTTTTTACAAAATTCAGGCTTGACTAATGCCCTTGGAGCTTTTCAAATGTCAAGTAGTTAAAGCCCATCAATGTGTAACGAGCTTATGGAAGGAAAAATTATAATAATTTTTTTAATTCCTTGAAAATAATATAAAGCAGATCGTCCAGAATTCTGATGATGCATTTCCAGAAGAAAAGCTTATTTACTGGCAATGACTTCTAGAAAGGGGTAAATATTTTGACAGAGGACTATAATCTAAGAAACTAATATTTTTATTTGCAGGTTACATGTCTTGCATGTGACAACAAATCAAATACCATAGAACCTTTCTGGGACTTGTCACTGGAATTTCCAGAAAGATACCAATGCAGTGGAAAAGATACTGCTTCCCAGCCATGTCTGGTTACTGAAATGTTGGCCAAATTCACAGAAACCGAAGCTTTAGAAGGAAGAATCTACATATGTGACCAGTGTAATTGTAAGTAGAGACTGTATATTCTCTTTGCTTTTCTAAGATTAGCAAAGAGAAACACAAAAGAGAGGAAGCTGGAAGAAATTCCTTAAGTAGCAGTTAGAGAAATAAACTTTGTTAGTTTATCAAAAGAAACTTGGCTAGATATTTCTACTTTTTATTGGCAATTGTGAACTACATGGTTGTTTTGCCTTATGATGACATTAAACAAATTCTGATCCTATAGTCACTTGTGGAGAGAAAGGATTCATAAAGTAAGAAGTTTAAATTTAATACATGAGGGCAGGATAAAATAGCAAAGGGGAATAGTAAAAGAAAACCATGGTATTTAGTACCAAACGAAATTTTGCTTTGAGTCTTTTTGCTACATACCAAAACATTGATTTATGGATAATACATGTATATATGTATATACATACCTGTATAATAGGAAATAATATATATATAGCTGGGCTGCTGCTATGGATATTGGCTTCATAAAAACAAAGATTTATTCAAAAACCATCTACTGATTATTTCTTCTATATTAGTCATTGTTCTAGTTGCTGTGGGCAGAAGTAAGACACTTTCAAGATGCTCACATATACCTAATGGAGGAAACAGACAATTAAGATCTGCTATAATAAGCTTTCTAATAGAGGTGAGCACAGGAACCCGACACCAGGGGGATAAAATGGCCATTTCAGTTACAGGGAAATGGCATATAAAACCACATCAGATCTGCTGTGTCTTTATCTGACTTCTTTATCTCTGTCAATGTGTACATGGCATTTTAGTGTTTATACTATATGTTTGTAGGTATTCTCCTTAATTTCCATGTCTGAAAAAAATGATTCTAGAGGTACATCAATTCATCATTCTAGAACAACTTATACTAACATTGTTTTCTGAGTGCTATCTAATGTGAACTGTTATAAAGAGCCTAAGATTTATAAGGTAGAAAAAAATAAACCTTTATTAAATTTGTATGGTGAAGTTTTTTATTTCATGGACATAAATGTGACTGGTCTGAAATGCTTCCATCACCAAATCTGGGAATAGAAAGATACTATGAACAAATGCAGAATATGGTTTTAGAACACGTTTGGATGTATCTCCTGGGTCCACCAAGTAAAGGCATAAAAGAGCTGCTTTAATTTAATACATAAAGATAAATGTTTGGCATTTACCATTGAGGATCGTTTGTGAACACCAAGTACTCTTTGGGCCAGGGTGCAGTTTGGGTCAGTTGGCTCTGACTTGCATCTATCTTTAAGAGTCCTTTGTTTAAAATAAAGTCTGGTGGAGAGGGTATGGTAGAGGGGAGCTGTGGTAGAGTGCCTGTTTAGCATACATGAAGTCCTGAGTTCAATCCCCAGTACCTCCATTAAAAATAAATAAGTAAATAAACCTCATTGCCTCCCTCCTCTCCCCCAAAAAACAATAAAATAAAAAGTCTAAGACGCCAAAAAAAAAAAGTTCAAAATTATAGTCCAAGGAGTTGACAACCTTTGTCTAGCTTCACTTGGACCATATATTCTGGGAGACTATCCAAAGGTAGGTCCCAAATGTTCAGCAGCAGCTGGATGTGTAGATTTCAGGGGCACAGACCTGGAGGAAAGGATTCTGGTGGCCAGTGGAAATGGGTTAGAGGACAGCCTCGTGGTGATTATCCTTCCTACATGAGAAGCAGCTGCTGCTATGTCTGGAGTCGCAGTGGATGTACAAGTTGAAGGACAGCTCCTGGACATCAAAAGCAAACTTTGGTAGCCAACTGCTCAGCCAGAAGATGCAAGACAAGGTCCAAAGGTGGACCTCTAAAGGAGTAGAGGGTAAACAAAAAGAATCTTAAGTTCCATTTGTTTAAGATCTGGCAAGACACTGAGGGAGGCCTCAGATGCAGAGCTAGTAAAGGCTTGTTTTTTCAGGTGGTAGCCAGTCCTGGGGTGGATCCCCAGAAAAGTTGGAGTGGTGTTCTGCACAGTAAGGACTCATGCCCCTGGGATCCTGATTAGCCTCAATAAATGAACTGACCATGAAACTTTTAAAAATAACAGCATATTAAAGTATGTTTAGGGAGAGTGTAACTTTTCCTGTTAGTTGGCATAGCCAAATCCATTTTAAAATATTAAGGCAACAGAATGTTATAGTGCTATATTTGCAGGATTATATTAAATCATGTACAGTATACTGGAGGGATTGGTTCCAGGACCCTTGCTTATACCAAAATCTGCTGATGCTCAATCCCCTAGTAGGCCCTCCATACCTGTAGGTTTCACATCTGTGGATTCAGCCAATCGCAGATAAATTTGGATCTGCAATTGGTTGAATCTGTGCAGGCAAAGCCTGTGGAAGGCCAACTGTGTATTTATTGAAAAAAACCCACATGTAAGTGGACCCATGTAGTTTAAACCTGTGTTCAAGGGTCACCTGTGCTGTGTGTTTATATGATTAGAAGTGTCTTGAGGGCAAGGCCATCTTTGTCTCTAGCACAGTACAATGCTTGTAACACAGTAGATGTTTAATTTATAATACATGTCTGAATTACTTTTAAGAGTTTACTGAGCTTTTCCTTAAATTTGATTCTCATTCTGTCTTTGATACCACAGCAAAGCGTAGAAGGTTTTCCTCAAAAGCAGTTGTGCTCACAGAAGCCCAAAAACAGCTTATGATTTGCCACCTACCTCAGGTTCTCAGACTACATCTCAAACGATTCAGGTTAGTAGTAGTATAAACAACTGCCTACCACTATGCACTTCTAACTTGACATTCCTTGTGCTTATACTTCAGAACTTAACACACGTGATGAATTAAATTTTAATACTTGGCTAGTAGATGATTTGTCTACTTTTTTTTTTTTTAAGGAAAAATTCTGTCATTGTCTCTAGCCTTGATCAGTAGACACCATGTTCAGTAACTTTCTGATTAGCTTCCCTTGTAGAATGCATTGCTGATCAGCAGACTCCTCGTATTTTGGTCTACTAGGTAATACTATTCTTGTAAGTTTCTGTGAATAATATTCAATATTCAGCATGTTTTAGGTATAAAATTTTTTAATTTAAATCTTTAGAGTATTTGGCCTAATTGCTTCATCCTTGGAAAATGTTTGAACAATGGTACAGCAGTTCGATCAAAGCAGTTAAAAAACAAAAACAAAATAGTTTCCAGAGATATATTTAGGTAAATTAGTTGGCAAATCTATTGGTTAATCAAAAGCATATGGTTTCATACTTTGTAATAACCATGTTAACCCAAGAATTTGCTCTTTTAAGGAATGAGAAGTTACTTTATATGCTATGATTTGGAAACTACTGAGACCATGTTTCTTATACACAGGAGGTGTTTCTGGTTTCTTTCCCTTTTTTTTTTTAACTAAAAGAATACATGTTTTAAAAAAAAATTCAAATATTACAGATGGTAAAGTAAAAGCCCCCAAAAAGCACCTCTTTCCAGTCCCACTTCCCAGAGATAATCACTGTTAATGGAAATAACTAAAGTTAGTTATTTAAGCTGTTACACAGTCAGCAAATTTGGTGGGGTTTTTTTTTCATGTGAGTGCTTTTTAATGCAAGATGTTCCATATTCTTTGTGGAATATAAAGTAGGATCCTTTTCTCAAGAAGACTACAGTCAGGCATGCACAGAAATAATGGTGAAGTAGAAATACTAAGTATCGGGGGGGTGGGGGTATGGCTCAAGTGGTAGAGCGCATGCTTAGCATGCATGAAGTCTTGGGTTCAATCCCCAGTACCTCCGTTAGAAAGCAAATAAACCTAGTTATCTCCCCTCCTTGCCAAAATAAAATAATACAATAATAAATAAAAATTTAAAAAAAAGAAATACTAAGTATCACAAACTATACAAATTGATTTATCAGAGCCTTGGCAGAGGGAGTTAGCTGATGTCTAAACATTCTGAAAGCCTCTCTAATAGCATAGGGGATTTTATATAATTCAGGTCACCTCTTGAGAGGGGACTTACCTGACCATCCTATTTAAAAATAGCACCACTCAACTCTCAGTGTCACATTACCTACCCTGTTTTTGCTTCATGGCAAAAACCACTATCTGCAATAAGTAGTTTGTTTATTTCTCTGCCCCTGCCAGTGAAACAAAAGCTCAGGAAAGACAGGGATCTTGTCTTTTTCACTCCTACATTCCAAAGCCCAGGACGAGCTCTATACATAGTTGATGCCCCAAAATATTATTTAAGTGACTGAATGAGGTGTATACAGGAGGAGCACTTTAGCCTAAGAGAGCTACATAAACGAAGGAACAGGGAAGGGCATATAACAAAAGGTTTAGTGAAAAATCAGGTGACACCTGCCATGGTGTTTTGATTTTTCGAGTGGAATGAAAACAGGAAGTTAGGAGGCTAATATTGTTCAGGGGCAGGGAACATGGAAAGGTGAGAATATATATAAGATTCCATAAAGTTATCATAGAAAGGACTTAAATTTTTATTACTTAAATTGGTATTTAATTTACTATAAACTACTGAAAAATCTATTCATAATTGCTGCTTTAATCTGCTATTTGAAGCTCTAATTTAAATTTACTTGGCTTCCCTTCTGTCCAAAACATTTTTGGTGCTTCATGCCGTATTTCTGATTCAGAGACCATGTTTATGCTGCCTTTATCATATTTATCTTTCTCCTTTCTCTTCATGTCTTCAAAAAGTACTGTTGCATTTGTCAATGCATAAAATATATAGGGTATATAAAAGATAAAAGGGAGAGTGTGATGGGGGAGGGACACACAGGAGCTTTGAAGCAGCATAAGAAAAAGGGAACATTTCTAATACCTTAAGAAGCTTCCCATGTATGCCTCCCAGTCTTACTCCTTCCCCCTCTCCTCAGAAGTAAACCATTATGAATTTTGGATATAGTGTTATCTTGTTCTTTATCATTTTACTGTATTTCTGTCAGCAGAAAAAAATGGGTGTCCAGTTAATCAACAGGAATATTTTCTAATTAGATAACTTACAAGTATTTATTTAGCATAGTTAAATAATTTAAGATTTAAATTTTATGGTACAATAAAAGGGAGATAAAGTGAGAATGGTGAAACTTGTATCAAGCAAGTCCCATTATTTTACATCCTTGGTCTTCCATCTTTACTAAGATAAAGGTACACAGGATGCAGGATTTTTTTTTATACATTTAATAGGGAAAGACTGGGATATGACTTCCAATCAAGCAGATAACATAGTTTGCAAGTCTTATCTTTAGTTCGATACCATTTTATATTGTGCTAACAAGCAGTTTCACATTTTTTCCTTCTAAAAACTGTCTGCATGCTTTTCTCCCTTCTCTACCTGCTATTGTCTTTTAATCTCATGTTTTAATACTTAAACACTACCATATTTTCATGTGTCTATCTTTTGTCTCTGCACTACACCACCCCAAATTGGACTATAATCTCTTGAAAGAACTACCATATATTACATTATTTTTGCTCTATAGCACCAACTCCTACTATGTGTATGATAAAACCATTGCTTGCCATGCTTGGATCCAGTACTGGGAAGCATGACCAACAGATTGAGAAACGGACAGTACAGGGGCATTATTTGAGGTCTGTCACTAATGGGTGTTATGCTGACTTACACACAGGGAAGGGTCAGTTTTTATTTTTAGTATGAAGAACTCTGAAATGTTCTGAGGAATTAGAGGTGCCTTGCTTTGTACTGCTTTTTCTCCACATCTGGCCAAGAAAGTCCAGGCTATGTCTTCCAAGAATAAATTTTAGCTTCTGGGATAATCTCCTCAAGGTATTGACAAGACAGTAAAGAATTAAAAATCCCTTTGGTGCCTTGAATTTATCTGTTTGAAGGGGGAATATGCCATAGGGCCATACTTTTCTGAAAGTTAATTTCCCCCCCTGTATTATCATCTAACTACAGAAGCCAAATATTTATTTTAAAATCTGACTGTACCTGTTTGGTAAATAAACCTAAATTTCTCTATTTATAGCCAACTCCAGCATTGAAAGGATTTTCTATTTACATTATCTATTATATATATACGTATGATTATATTCTATGCAATCTGAGGCCTTCTATTATTATGACTGTTTGGACGTAGTATATGGTTATCTCCCCTGGATTTTTGTTGATAATTTTACTGTGGTTTGTTCGTAGGTGGTCAGGACGTAATAATCGAGAGAAGATTGGTGTTCACGTTGGGTTTGAAGAGATCTTAAACATGGAGCCCTATTGCTGCAGGGAGTACCTGAAATCCCTCAGACCAGAATGTTTTATCTATGACTTATCTGCTGTAGTAATGCACCATGGGAAAGGATTTGGCGCAGGGCACTACACTGCCTACTGTTATAATTCTGAAGGAGGTATAGATGAGAGAAAGTATTTTACCTTGGGTTAGACCTGAAAGCCAGAGTTCACAATTTAGTTTATAAATTGGCCACTAAATCATCTTAAGCAAAGCCACCTGACCTCCTGTTTTCTTTCTAGAAGAATGCTTCTGCAGTAGTATTCGTTAAAAACTAGGAGTTTTGTGCAGAAAATGAGATATTATGTTTTCTGCAGGATTGTAGTAGTTTTGATTTTTAAGGGTTGTAAGGATAGGACAATAAGGATGGTCTCATTAATTAAAAGAAAATGCCAAAGGCACATTTCCAAGAACAGGTCCTCTGTTTACTGGTTTAATTCAGTTAATTTTGTTAAAGAACAGAGCATCAATCAATTGGGGGATCACAGATATTTGGAACAAACTTTGAGTTCAAGTTTTTAAATAGAACATTTCCACTTACTGCCTCATGGACCCTAGAACAAAAGAGAGATGGACAAAAAGTCCAAATAACCCATGAAGGCAATTAATATAACACTAAACTACTATGAGTTTGTTGTACACTATTCACATTATAGAATGATTTAGCAGCAAAAGCATTAATTGGTAAGATTTTACCAGGAATTAAAGATAGTGTCAAGTGAATTTATCAGATTCTATAACTTCGAATTACTTCTAGGATAAAGGTAGATAATTCCAGAGTAACATACTGTCCAAGCTACATTTTACATTAAAAGAAGTAAATTGGCTAGACAGTTACTCCCCCTTCAAAATAAAAGCTTAGCTCTCACTGAAACTAATGTCTTTAAATCCATGTTTTAATTTACACTGGAAATTTCTTAAGTTTTTTTGTAAACATTAAGGTCTATTTCTGTGCTTTACTCTAGGGTTCTGGGTACACTGCAATGATTCCAAGCTAAGCATGTGCACTATGGATGAAGTATGCAAGGCCCAAGCTTATATCTTGTTTTATACCCAGCGAGTTACTGAGAATGGACATTCTAAACTCTTGCCTTCAGAACTCCTGTCTGGTAGTCAACATCCCAATGAAGAAGCTGATACCTCTTCTAATGAAATCCTTAGCTGATCCAAAGACAGTGGGGCTTTCTTTTTGTGATTTGTATATATACTTTTTAAAGGGGCTGACTTAACAATTTTGAGCTTCATTGTTTTTATTTTTTACTTATTAATCAGTGAACACATGTTTACACATTTTGTATCTAACTACAACAAATCTTTTATAGAGACAGTGTTAGCGTAAGTATATGTATATCAGTGACAGCAGGTAAAGTTTTTCCACTTGTGTGGCAATTTTAAACTTCTAGTGTTTACCTCAAACTGGTGTTACCTCTTATATTTTAATGTCTTAATTGGCTCAGATCATGAAGTTGTGCAATCTTCTACTGAAGAAGTTCAGGTGGCATTATTTTATACATTTCTTTTTTTGGTAGCTATTTTCTGTACAAATTCTTATTAGATATGAAATTAGACTTTCTTCACCAATAGTCTTACCAAAAAAATAAAAATGTTTCTTTCGGGAGATTTATATGAAGTCACCTTTGCCCCTTGAAGGGAGTTAAACTACTACAAAGTAAAATATCAAGGTATCACCTAAATGCTCACCAGTGACATTAATATTCCTGAGGGTTTGTGTGTCTTAATACAGACATTACTTTGGTTAATGGAACTTCCTTTTTTCAAAAATGTATTAAGTTTTAGTAATTGTTCTTTATTTGGCATAGTCAAACTGTATACAATGAAAATGACAGCTTTATAAACAGCCATGTTTAAATTTAAACTTCAGTACTGTGGACATGAAAGCAATGATGGCTGAGACTTGTGATTTGTCTGGCAGCAAACAGGTTTGTCCAGATTCTAATAAAGCAGTCATATAAAAATTTGAGTTTAGCAAACAGTATATTATGATGTAATACAAATACAGTTCAACTTGGATATGAGTTCATTTTATGTATTTAATATTAGATCTCCTAAAGCTTTGTACCATACCTTGAGATTTGTAGTTTAAAAGGATAAAAATAAGTCTAAAAGAGAAAAAAATGCATAGGACAGAGAAGGTAATTGTTCAAAATTGGCAACTGGGCAAAATGTTCAGCATCTCATTTTTCTAAGTAACTAAAGCCTGGATTACTTAACTGTTCTAGGATTATTTGAATACTAAGAGCCTCTCAGACATTCAAACAGTGGGCCCTGACTTTTTAAAATTAAAAATTAAACTTGAATTTTGTTAAAAATAGTTTGAAATACTCCTTGCTCTTCCCCACTAATCTTATTAGATCTCTTTAAAGTCCTACTGCTGCTAACTTTATTCAGGAAGAGGAGAATCCACTAACCTCTATAGATGAAAGATCTTAGCTCAGTGGTAACCACTAGATCACATCTTTTTTCTCAAGGGGGTTTGCTTGCAGGTTGAAATCTTCATGAAAGAAACATCCTGTAGAACGCTGTCCTCCGCTAGTGATCACTTCTTAAGTATAAGCTTGAAAAGGAACTCTGTTAGGAAATTTTCCTTAAATTTTAGAGAACAAGTCATCTGGGAGAGCTGATGATGAAGCACAAATGAGAATTTATCACTGAACAGACAAATCATTCATGCCAAAAGTACAGCTGAAGTATTAAACAGCTAAGTTTAAAATCATCCATTTATTAAATACCTATGCAAGTTGTTACCTCAACTGTTAACATAATTATACCTCATTAAAGATTTATGTGGTCAAGATACCTGAGTCTAGCCTTTTTTAATTTCAAGGATTACTTTATATTTAGCGTCTACAACTTTTAGTACCTAATTTAGTGGGATGGTTTAAAAACACTGGAAGCTATGTTCATAATGGTATAGTTGCTTGTTTCAGTACTTATTACAATATAAATATATATGAGAAAGAAATAGTGATTTTTTACTTTACTTTTTAATCTCTTAAAACTAAAACCTACAGGGAAAGCTGTGTGTTGCACAAGGAGGGGTATGTGAAACTCTGCTTTATGCTCAGTTTTGCTAAAAATCTGAAACTGATCTAAAAAAGTAAAGTCTATTGAAATAAAACTAAAAAAACTAAAACCTAGCCAATGGACAGAAACATAGATTTCTTACAGTTCACCTCAGTGTGGACTTGTACATTCTGCTAAGATGATCTAACAAAAAACAACGTGTTTTGATTGTAAAATAATTTACTAAAGGCACTATTGTTAAACATCAAACTATGTTACCAATAAGGTACATCATTGTAAACATAACAAACTGATTTCAAGAGATACATGGCTAGCAGGTAATACAATTTTTTTCTTAAGTAACAGCTTCCCTACTTAGAAGAATATCCCTTCCAGAGGCATGCAGTGATGCCACTGTTCGCAACAGTTACTTGGGAAGCGAGCTTGGAGCTCATACTTGGTCTGAGATCACTATTGCTAAAAATGTCTTAAAAGCTCCAAAATTCTTGTTGCCTCATGGTCAATTCTAAAATTCTTGGGTTTAGAAATCAATACACTTTACACCTCCCACCAAAGCACACCAAAAAGGTATGGACTCAAAACCCAAAAAGAGCTAGCTGGAGGGTCCAAGCCCTGTAATGTGTCCAGGCATGAACTGGTGGGCTCTGCCACTAGCACATCATCACAGGAAATGGAGAAATTATTCAAAGGTAGCTATTGACCATTAGCACCATAATAAACATGGCTCATGTAGCTAAAAACTAGTTTAACCCTACAAAATAACATTCATTTATAGCTCTAATCTGAAAGAGCAGCTTTTTAATGTATAATAAATGATTTAGTACAGAAGTCAGGTTTCTCTTCCTATGAGAAAAATGTTAGAACAAACGACAAACTAAACAGCATCCCAAAGGCAATCTTATTGTGCTAAAGCATATACAAATTAAGGCTTTACCCTGATACATAACAATTTTGAAACTATGTGGGAACATTCCCAACAAAACATTTACACAAAATTCAAGCAATCTGTTCAAGAATTGGTTGTGGGGCTCAGTTCAAAGTATCACGCATCTTACATTGAACTTAAGCACTTAGCTGCTGTAACAAGCATCACTGTAACCTCAGGTCCTGAAAACATCATCAATGTTATGAATCCAAGTTAGTCCAGGGGCAGGGTGTTAGAGAATGTGATTCAGTAATGGAAAAGCCTATAATTCAATTTAAATTTTCTAACTAGAACAAGATCTAAACGTAAGTTCTCCTGTTTTTGTAGTTTTAAATGCCCTTATGATTTAATGAGTAAGCTAAATACATTTCTTGATAAATACTACCACTGGACAAAGGATCTAAATGTTGAGATCTTACTAAACCAAGGTTTTAAGCTGGTACAATGTTCCTACTAAGTCATGTTTCGATTAGATCTTTCCAGGATCAGGGAGAAAATGAAAGGCAAGGCAAAATATTCCTAAAGCTGTATATTAGTTTATGAAGAGTATACACATGTGTAGATCTTGTTTTAGCCACTATGTCAGCAGAAAAGTTTCGGTGTGAAGGTTTACAATCCAGAAAAAAGGCTCTACTTTTCCCTACATTAAGCTAAACTATTTCTTGTGCAGAATTATAACCACAGACATTGAAGTATAGCTCTCAGATCTGAAAATGTCTTTATTTTTTTAGAAAATGGATTCCAGGAAAGTTAAAAAGCAATACCAGAGGGTATAGGTGCAGAGTCGGACGTAGTCATTCAAAGCATTCAATTAAGAATATGGCAATATAAATATCTGAAAAGCATCTCTCAGATGTTTGAAACAAAACGTGTAAGTCATCCCTAACTAATTGAAGCTTTATAGCATTTCCTAGAAAGAGGGAAAACAGTTAACATTTGAAAGTCCGGAAAGCTTTTTCCTTGGTTAATTACGTTAAATGGTTTGCCTTTGATCAAATTCCTTCCTTTTTAAACATGGATAAAAGTATTACATAGGTCCACTGTTAAAACAGACAACATGTTGCAAATTAATTCTGGTATAATGTACTCCAACAAAGCTTAGAAAATAAAAGATGTTGCGGTGGCTTTGGACTAAATTTAATAGTCATCTCCTCTGCTGACAACTTCTTTACATGTTGGACGCAAAAGTATGGTATGTTCAAACTGTGCTGTATATGATCCTTTAATGTCACATAACGGTGGATATGGATCTACAATGCCCAAGTCACACAGATTCTTCAGAGCCATCAAGTATTTACTTTCTCCCAAGCGATCCAGCCATCTGCGGCAGAAGGCAAGGGTGCCAAAGTTTTCATTGATGACATTTAACAAGTGTTTCGTTCTTGGAAGCCTAAGAGGAAAAAATCCAAAATTAATAGTTGGCAAAAAGTTACCAACTCATTTCCTCCATTAAGGAAAACTCAAACGGAAGTTATGACTCAATAATTACAGTTCAAAACACTTTTTTGTTGCCTCCTTCAACATTCAAAAATCAGAATGGGTTACCAACTCACACACAATTACAGATGGCAGCTGAACAGGAGACCAACTAAAGGCTATCTTATGTCTATGCACGTGTGTGTTTTAAATTCTAAGTACAGACTCAGTAGTAGTATAATGGTGGGAATTTCCCTTTTTGTGCATCAAAGTGAAAGACCTGCACGTAAAGATGTTTCAACCATCTCCAAAAACTTAGGGGAAAAAAAGTAAATAAAAACATAAAGTTTACCAATGGGAAAGTATTAACAACAAAAACCTAAGAATGCCAGCAAAATGATAATCTCTGAATTTATGATTACTGGAAACTAGATATGAAGAGAATACTTATTCTCATCTCAGTTAAAATTTTTAACAGGCCAATTTTTTTTTGATGAATTATAGAAATCCACTGAACTATTGCTGGGCTACAGAAACGTGCATTTATTAATATACCACTGTGGATGCCTGTCAAATTTTTTAAAATGCTATTAACTGGGAAGAGAAATTCACCAGTTATATAAAAAAAAGTCTCTCACCTTATTGGCACATGTCCAACATCAAAATTTTTCATGTAATGTGAACATTCCATATCATCATGAACAACACCTTTTCCTGTGCTACCAAAGGTTTCAATGGCATACACTTCTCCTTCCTAAAACATACATAAGGGTTGGAGGAGAGAAGAAAAATTCAGAACTATCAAAATTCCCATCTCTTAACTTCAGGCTGAGGTATTCCTCACTTCATGTAAAACAACAACAACAACATAAAATATCGCCTGGCAGTCCTTATCCAACTTCTCCTGCTTTATCTTCTTAGCACTTTCTAGTCAGTCTGTCATCCTATTAAAATTAGGCTTTACATAGGGAATTTTGTTTTGTTCACTATGACATTCCGTGCCCTACTAAAGAGACAAGAACCTATGTAATGCTCAATATTTCCCTATGTAATGCTCAATATTTCCCAAGTATTGAATAAACTTTCATATACCCCACTTCCACAACTGATTGGGCCCCAGTCCAACCAGACACAATCTGCACACTCACACAGCCCAATTCCTGTTGGGGTACGCATGGATGGGAAGTTAATTTTGCTCAATGTACTATATACTCAACTG